AATCTCCAGAAATCAATTTAAAGTGTAATAAAATAATTGCTGATGTAATATTTTCCCTATAATTATTACAAAAACACAAAATWGGTAAAAATAAGTATTTATATTTGTGGATAAGCTGCTTAGATTGTCAAAAAGCCTGGGTTTTAGGGTTATCAACAAATTTAATGTACTCAGACCTGTAATATTTGGGGTCACAAGTTTTTGCCATGAAAATTTTGTGGGTCAGAAGACAAAAAGTTTGGGAACCACTGCTTTATACAACACTGATAGCTTTAAGCAAATATTGAGGAGACTTTTCAGAAGTGAAACTGGCACTGTCTCACCTGTTTCCCTTTTGTTTGTGTCTGAGCATTTATAGTATCACCMATCAGGTTTGGGGGGGAAAAAAGAGAACTGAGTTTTCTGTGGTTGCATAAAACTTTTAATTTCACTGAAACTAAAGTTGATAGTGTTGTTGTGTAATACTGAGTCTACATTTTTAATGTTCTGAAGATTTCATATTAAAGATGCAATTAAGGCCTTTGAATAATTCTTAGGGAGCATTGAAATCATCCCAATGTTATCAGAGGTGTTTGTGTTGACATTAAAACACAAGCACAGGTTGGCTGCTTGTTTAACCTGTTAGGTTTTAAATGCAACTGCTAAAATCCTAAAAAATATATGGGTTTTGGGTATCTAAATCATCTCAGAAGAAAAAAGGGCATTTTTTTCTGAATATTGGAGTTTCACGCAGGTGTTTTTAGGTGGAGACGTTGGCGCTTTGTAAGCTATCTGATTGCACCTGCAGCTTCACGTCTCTTTCCTTTTTTTGTCTTTCAGAGACCATTGAAGGCCTGTTTCATTATCAGTAAAGGTTATCTATATTTTCAGTTTGTCTCTTGCTTTACTGCTCAGGGTAAAAACAAACATATTTAAGGATGTATGGTAAAAATGCACTTGTTTCAGTTTACTGTACAATGAAGTAATTCCTCTTGAAAGAACTGCRTATTTAATAGAAAGCAGTAGCTGCGGGGCTTTGGGATCAGTGTTTCCTAAAAGGTGCAGAGTTACAATTTATTCCCAGGTGGGACAAAAATGAGCGCAAATGGATTCACAGCACAATTCCTTAAGTAAGCTGGTGCTAATCTCCACAGCAGCCACTGTGTGAGAGGTGAGGTACACCCTGAACAGGTCATAAGTTTATCACAGGACCGCATGACAAACAAGAGATGCCTAATGACAATTTAGATTTGTCATATGTGGGAGGAAACCAGATTACCCGGAAAATAAAATAAAATTAAAAAACACCACACAGAGAAAGAAACATGCAAACTCCACACAAAAAGGACCCAAGTGGGAGGAACATCTGGAACCTTCTCTTGATAAACTAAACTGGGCAGATGTTAACTGTGACATCCTAATAAGTTTTCTTTTTTAGGACTAAGAAACACAGAGAGAGTAGGAGTACGGAACTACTGATAATAAAAATGATGCAACCGAACAAATATATCCATGCTTTGTCAAAGCAATTACGACCATAAATCAAAATAAAACACTAAACTGCAGGACATGCCCTGGCTAATTTGGTGCCCTAAGCAAGATTTCAAGTCTAATTTTCTAAATCCCACTGCCAAATAGCCATACATACAAGAACTACTCAAAACTCAGCATTTTTCAGCCATTTGAAGAGCATTTTACTAAATTATTGAGACTAATAAAATATCAATAAATCAGCCTTTTTTAAAGGTAGAACCAATGATAAACAAGATTTAAGCCTGAACTTTATCTGAGATTATGATTGTTCTGTTTTCTATTTCCACACTGAGCACCAGTAGTAGTTTTGGCTGTATCATATGATCCTTTTATCATGAAATTTACACTGCAATGTATTACCTTATGTCAGGGCTATTCAACTAAATCACTCCAGGGGCCACAGTTACTGCCGGTCAACAACCGAGGGTCCGAACATCCATCCATCCATCCATCCATCCATTTTCTGTACACGCTTATTCCTTTTCAGGGTTGCGTGGGTCACTGGTGCCCATTTCCAGCAGCAGTTAAAGTTATTGTGTAAATAAACCAAATATTACAAAGATCTGTTTCCTTTGAATTAATTTATTTTGCTGCATTTAATCATGAATACAACATACATAACCATATAAAAGTAGTGATAATTACACATTATCAAAAACAAAAAGAGCACATGCATCCTGTCTGACGCAAATAATATTTTGACATCTCTGACTTGCCAAATTTTAAAACCAATTTTATTTTCACGTTCATCATTTTATCTTCAACTGCTTGTAGTTTTAACTATCTTGAGTGTTTATAGAAATGGTTTTTACCAGTTTCTAGCTAGTAAAAACCTAGCTGTCAAGATTCTGACATTTCAGTAGATACCAAACATGTCTATGGTTAACTAAAAGACCCTAGAGTAATTAAAGTAGAAAACCGTGGGTTTGGCCTTAAGAGATGAATAGACCAATTGGCGGACCAAACTTTGGTCACTCGCAGGCCGGATGGGCAGCCAGTTGAATAGCCCTGCCTTATGTATTAACAAAGCAAAGTGATTATTCTACAGACTTGATCAACTATACTATGATAAAAAATGATGAAACATATTTTTGTCCCTCATTTGTGACGGCCCCCTTTGCATTTGCCTACACTGCCTAAAAGCCAACATGACCTGATGCAGCAACATGTCTGCTGATGAAGCTCTAAATAATGCTGAACTGCCCGTACAAGTTGTCCAGACTCTGCGGTCTGCGTCTCAGCTGTCACCACTGCTGATGACTTGTCTTTGTATTTCTCGGCATTTAGTCTGTCTTCCTGCCTTCCTCGTCTGTCTTCTCCTCTTAGACAAACGACTTTAATTTCCTTCACTCCCACCTGCATACAAAGTTCTCAGGTGTCAGTGTGACTTAAAAATAAAGAAGAAGACGAAAACAACATTCTGCGGTGTGCAGCTGAGGTCCACACTGCAGGATTAGCGGGCTCTCCAGCTTTGTTTGGATTTAACTCCTGTATCACAAAGCAAACTAACCAAGGAAGACCACCATGGTAACTGTGCTGTAAGGTTGATCTGCCCCAGTGCAGACTCAACCCACCAATTAAACTGATTAAAACATAACCACTATTTCAACAGTTCTGACAAGAACACAATGGTTTACAACCGAATCGTAAACTTAAAACTAAGGATATAATTCACTTGTTTCTTTAATACTTGTCTATTTGAGTTTGATCTGCAATTCACAACTAAAGTCATCTTGGAGTAATATATTAGATATTAGATATATTATATAATGTCAGTAAATAAAAGGTATCCATTTATTCAGATGTCAGATATTAAATCACGCGAGACTTGGTGAAATCTCACGAGAATTCAGATTTCTGAGGAAGAAACAATGTTGATATGTTGATCGTTTGTGGACTATTTTTACCAGAGGAAAAACAATTCCACAGGACCTTTGACATCCAGCAGACTTTCTGCTGAGTCATGACAGTTTTTTTTTTTGTCTTCTGTATTTTGGAGTCCCGTCACCTCGCGTTCTGATTGGCTGCACGTCTCATTACAGGCTGTGAGCTTGGGTGAGCACTACACACACTGTGATTTCGGGCCAAAAAAATCAAACATGTTTAATATCTCCAATTTGAGGTCGAAGCGGTTTCGACGTCCTTCCAAGCGGACTAGGTCACTCTTAACTCTCCATCCATGGCAGGAATATCTGCTATGGCTATCTTTAGAGCCATCACGATAATCTGGACTTCCTTAAGATTGTCGGAAGGGCAAAAATCTGCATGATTTTCTTGTGGTGTGACGCTGCCTTAAGATGCTTCCCATCTTAAGCTAGATTTATAGTTGACGTGGTCGTGCAGCTTCGAATTTTTGTAACTCCGCAAAGGCTGCGAGTGCTGTGCACCATTCAGTTAGTTAGTTTGTCAAGCTTTTGCTCTCCTATTTACGTTTTCAAAAGTTATAAAGTGTACTGCCACGTCCTTTTGGAAGAATACTACAACATTACAGTATCAAGTATAAACGCCTCCACTGCTGGTGAGGGTGCATGCCCTGTGTGAGTACCCAAAGCAGAGACTTTACTTTCTGCAAGATTCCTGAAAACAATCAATGGGATATTTTGCTAATAGCACAGACAAACATACACTGACACAGGTAAAACGCTGTTGTAACTTTGACTGGCAGTTAAAAGGAGCACAGTGCCAGAGAAAACCCAGACTTAAAGTCAGAAGAATACCTGGATCATGAACTCCTGACTCTGTGAATCCAGATAACCTTAAAAGTAAAGAACAGGGTTGAGCCTGATTTGTGGGTTTTGCTCTCAGCTGTCTCCAAAACCTAATTCACGTTGCCCCCGGAAATCTATTTCTCCTACAAGAAGGAGGCTGAACACACAAAGTCCTCCCGTCGGTGTGACAACACTTTCTGAAGGATGAATGAGATGAAGATAAAATGACAGCCGGACGGACGAGCGAATCCATCTAAAGGCCCCGAGGCCCGGGGAGGAGCGCTACAGCGGAACCCCCTCCCCCCTCCCTGTGCCTGACACCTGATGACCCCTGCAGCACCAGATAATCCTGACAGGTGATTTGTTAAAAGCTGAGGGAGGAGGGGAAGGGTTAGCCGAAGAGCGTAAGCTAACCGTTTACTCCCAGAGAGACAAACAGGGCTTCCTCAAGTTTTTCACAAACAAACACAAAAGCTAATTGCAACAGCCTGCAGGCTCACAGAGAAAATACCTTGAACTGTGTTTGAAATCTATTTTTTCCTGAAATTTCCGTGTGAACTCTAGCCAAATGAAATTACTAGTTGTGTTACTTCTGCTTGTATCTCTCCACCAGGAAGTCGAGGTGGATCTGTGTTAATCTGACATGATAACACAGGAATATGGAACTGTTATTTACTTAAAATGTCTCCAAAAACCAAACAAGAGGAGTTTGCTAAAAAAAAAAGAGCAAAAATAATTCTGCATTTTCTTATTTGTTTTTTCTTTGTAACATTTTAAATATGTGGTTTCAGTGAATGACGTGAGTATTTCTGAGGCTTTTCTGTTTGTTTTTAGTTTCAGCATGAATGTTTGTTTCATTCCAGTATGTCAGAATGTAACAGGATGCGGTGCAAGGTCACCGCTGTTGTATGCAAAGAATGTGTCATTCAGGTATGAAACAGTTGTGTCGCCCCGTTGCTCAGACATTTTTAATTAGTTTAAAAGGTTATAACAAAAACCACACTATTCCTTTGGGTTTTGAATACAGTGGGACACAATTTGCGGTTGGCCATCACACATAAAATACTGAAGTAGCCGAAGGTAAACTGGTGTTAACTCCTTTTAGCATTAACGCAACATGAGGATAAACAAGCTAACTGTAAATGGAGTGAACTTAATAGCTGCAAGAGTGGGTACAGCACTTCATTTTTACTACAACAAACGGCACCTAACTGTAGCATTTAATGTGGAGGCTATAGAGTGCAACAACTCCCTGACAAAATAAATATAACTGTAGTTCTTGACGTCATAGTTAGAAATGATCACAAATAGCAAAGTGGGCAGACCTCATATTTAGAGAAGGTTTATTGGGAAAAAAGCTTAGGTAGTTATGGAAAAGCCATTGTCATTGCACAAATTCAACAGATAAATTTCAGCCGTTATACCGCCCCAATGTATCTGCTCTAAACTGATTTGTGTTAAACTTTCCTTTAGGATCATAAATGTGATTTTTCATAAAAATCCAAACGTTCCAACTGCGTTTTTATATAGCAACCTTAGCTTTTATCCAGTTGATCTGTGACGCAGAAAAGCTAGGCTTTGCTAAGAACACACATTTCTAACTACAAAATGGTCTAATTCTGAGTTCTTCCAAACATCCAGGCTACAGAGCAAACACATTACTGCTAATGAGAACAAGTTGAATAGCTTGCTGTGCTGAACCATGCCATTTGGGCAATGGTGGAGTCAAATTTGCCTTTTCATAATCTTCGTAAGTATACTCATCTCATTGATAGAAATACACTGCACTGTTTGCACCACTTTTTTATTGTTTTGCTTGTTTTCTTTTCTGTTTCTATTTTAGATTTAAATTCTGTTTGCTGTCAACAACAAACTGCTCATTTCAGCTCTGTCTGCCTATTGTAGATGCAATAACTGGACTTAGTGTTGAAATGTCTTTTTTTAGCATAATTGCTGCCTGTGATCATGTCGTAAACGATGGCGTATTTGTAATAGTTGCCTGGCAGCACTTTAATCTCATTTTTAACATGTTGCAAAATATCAAAGATCAAGAGGAGTTATTTTACTAGGTCAGAATGTAGCCAACGTGATTGAGAAAGATGGAGACTAGAAGGAATGACTGGTATGTTGTAGACAATGAGTTAAGAAAGAGGGTAAGAGAGGAAAAATTTATACTTAGATAACAAAAAGTAGAAATTTTAACACAGCAACAACTATGAACAAAAACATAACCACAGCTATTCCTTATGTTGAAAGAATGGAAACAAACGGTCAGAATGACGGATCTAAACACACCCAGAACTGAAAACAATTCATCCTTTCATTGACTTTAAGCTTGTGGACAGAACTCAGACCAGTTGTCCAGGTTTSAACTGGTTCTTAGATCCAGTAACCAAAAGGTTAAAGATGATTTAGACAAGTGAAGCTTGTGTTATAGTTTTACTCATCAACCAAGCCTCATAAATGAATGTCTTCCCCTGCGCTTTTCTTTCATCTTTTAGGAGGAAATGAAAAGCAAACACCAGTATGGGGATATTAAACAGATCTTGCAGAACAGTTTTTTAAGAGGAGGTAGGGTTAGCATTAAAACCCTGAAAAAGAAAACTTAACACTATTCGTTGGTTTACTCGCACATTAAAACATGCTTGTAAAGCTACTGGATGTCCTCCTTCACCAAAATAGTTCATTCACAATCAAAAATGAATTCTCAATTGGATATGATAAAACAAGAACAAAAGAACAAGAATACTTACGGTACTTTCTGTCGACAGTAAAAGAACAAGGCGAGGCATGCTCCCACTGCAACAAGGCAGGCAATGACGATTCCAGCAATGGCTCCGTCTGAGAGACCTTCAATGATCTCCTCTATAAGAAAAAAATAAAAAAAATCACATAGAAGAATTTAATACATTTTTCATATATTGCAACAGGCTCTACATTATTTATTTCAAAACATAAACAACAACATGATGGGGATATTCTGGGAAATGATGCCATGTTTCACAGTTTTGTAAAGAAACCACAAAGAGGAAACGAACATGACATGTCTGAGTGTATAGTGGCTTGGTGAGAACTGATCACTAGTGCTGGTATTTTAACAGTCACTCTATATGACTCACTATTCTACAGAAAAGACATCATTCTGATGGGACGAAAAAACAAGACGTGAATATCTTGGTTGCTTTCTTTCTCCTACACATAAGGGTTGCTGACGATTTAAACAAGTCACCACCTGGTTGTGTATCATCCTGAAAAAATGTTCTTTTTTAAGGACCAATCCTTAGCACCATTGAGGATAAGTACATCAAATAATTCTAATTACTTTTAATATTTTTCAAATAAAATCCATCCATCCATCCATCCATCCATTTTCTTCCGCCTATCCGGGGTCGGGTCGC